TTCAAATATCAGGTTATTAGACCTCCATTGCAAAGCAATTGTGAAAACAATATCGTTTGAAGTTTGATTATAAGCCAAAATGAGCAGTGTAAATAATATTTTAACTGTAAAGCTAATATTGTTTCCATTAGAGAGGAAAAGCACTGTGATACTAATAATTTAAATTGTACAAAACAAATAAAATGAGTAATATAAGACTGTTTTAATATATGTGACCTGTCGTAAAATGGACAAGTATACTAGTAAACTAGTATTTTAATTCCTCCATTAAAGCAAATTAGTGGGTTTTCATATGATTTACTAAACTCAAATATGATTATGTTTCAATTACAGAAAAATGTAACAACAGTTAGAAATTTGTAGATAAGAGTTTATTATGTTTTATATACTATTACTATAAGAAATTACATTCGTGATGTTAGAAAAACACATAGGTTCAAGAAGTATTGATAGAAATGAATAAAAACCCTATAACCTGACTGCTTTCGAAAGGTGGACCTTTCTTCTTCAGGGGCAAATTAGGAATGAGGCATTCCCACTGAAGAAGAAGAAAGGTCCACCTTTCGAAAGCGCTCGGGTTATAGGTTTTTATTCATTTCTATAAGAAATTACATTCACTTTTGTTTATACGGACATCGATGATGAGGTCCGATAAGAATCTCAGTGTTATTTTTTTCAAATGGGAATAAATATATTATGTCACTATCTATATCTAAATATCCTGTCGTTATCTACATTTAAACTTTATACTATTATCTAAATTTAAACGTCCTCATGTTATCTAAACTCAAACGTCCTGTTGTTATCAAAATAAGTACCTTGTAAATCTCAAAAGTATTGTATATTTGAAGTACAAAAAATATACTGTATTTAGTATCATAATACTAAATAAATTCCATTCATATCTAGAAACAAGTTTCTTGCATTTGTAAACAGAAATATGGTTTAAAAGAATAATAATAAAACTCTTGTTATTATCTTAAGTTTCTGTTTATTCTAAAAATGAAGAATAACAAGTATTTCTCTTTAATATTTATAATATGTCAGTAATAACTCGCAAGTTTTAACTGCTTTGAATTTCTCTGATTAACAACAACTCTATAGTTAAACATTTATTAGCCATGTTTAGACTTAGTCATGCGCAAATAAATATTTTGGAGAAATAGATTCCTTATACAGGTAGTTTATAAAAGAATTGAAACACCTGGGTAACTGAAGGACAACAAGTATATGCAATGCAGAGGCTACCACACTGTTGTGGCTCGTCCATTAACTAAGCAAATAACATCCCAGCATGTATAGGGCCATGTATAAAAATGATGGACAGGCCTGGTTGCCTATAATCATGGCTAGCGTGGCTGTTGGGGTGCGTTTAGCGGGAGCTTCAGTGACCAAGACAGCTCACGAGCATCGGTGTTTAAGGTGATGTGAGCATGGAACTCCAAGGGAAAGACATCAGCAGCAAAGGGCAATAGTGGGCTGAAGCGCATATTCCAGGATCGTGATGTCTGTGCATTAATTCTAACTGCAAGGCAAAACAGGCAAGCAACCGTAGATCAACTGACTGTATTTCAAATTGGGGCGAGAGCAGATAGTTTTATCAAAAACGGTCCGCCGAGAACTCCACAAAACGGGATACCATAGTCGGGTTGCAGTGCACAAACTATTCATCACACCTGGCAATGCACGATTGCACGTCCAGTGGTGTAAAGAGCATAAGCTTTGGACTACGGAGAAGTCAGACGAATCATCCTTCACCATGTTCTCGACAAATGGACGAGTGTGGCGCAAACCTAAGGAACTCTACAGCCCTGAGTTCTTGGTCCCAACTGTGAAGGGTTCTTGTGGTTCTTTAATGGTATGTGGCGCATATTCCTCGCATGGCTTTGGTGCACTCATACCCTTAGAAGGCAAGGTCGATGCCAATCGATACATAATTGTACTGAGTGATCATCTTCACCCCATTTTACAGCATTTCTGTCCTGCAGAGAGGGGTGTCTTTCAATTTCACAATACCTCAGTTCACAGAGCACGAGTAGTCGCCCAGTGGTTTGAGGCGCATGACACTGACGTAATCTCTATGTAATGGCCTTTTCAGTCACCAGATCTGAACCCAATAGTGCATGTATAGGATATACTGGAATGACGCCTGAGACAGCGTTTACCACTTCCATCAACTAGGTGTCAGTTGATTGACTTTCTCGTGGAAGAGTTGTGTCGCATTCCTCCTGCAGAATTCCAGAAGCTGGTAGACTTTATGCCACGGCTCATACAAGCCGTACTAGCCGCACGTGGTGGCCCAATATCCTATCAAGGGACTTTACATTGGTGTTTCTATTTTTTTGTCACTACCTGTACTTTTGATCTGAAGGTATTATAGATAATAAAGGATAAAGTATAGTTCGAAGCATTTTTTTATATTATTTTAAATCATGATCATTTGCGTTATATCTCGGAAGAAAAAGTATTTTTTTTTCTGAAAAGAGGTCATTACTATAGCATAGGCCAAATTAAATTAATATTCAATATTACAGAAAAATGAACCGATTACTAAAGCGCTTATCTATAAAAAAAGCGAATTGCGTGAGTTTATGGTAACATCATAAAAACTAACGAAATGAGACTCTAGGATTCGGTTAAGCAAAGGGTTATTACTTGATCTTTAATAATTTTCTCCATCTAGTTCAGCATAATTGGTTGTTTTAATACTAAACAACGCAATTTATCCTGGCGAGGATCGAAACCCCAATTTTGCGTTATAAACATTCAACCTTGTTGCCGAGTCATCGGCTGGGTTAATCTAATTGTACAAAATTATAAAAGTACTTTAGAGGAATTACATGAGATAAAAGGAGACCTAAAAATAATCCATATTCTGAACATTTCTTACAATAAAAATCTTATTTTGTAACTGTTACTGGCATAGCCTTTAAACCATTATTGTCTGTTTTGTACATAAAGCATAGAACATTATGAAACAATATCATCAATATCTAATGCAAATTTATATAAACCTCCTAATCTACAAAATATCGGGCAAAAATAAAAACAAATGCATAGAATGTCCATCTTGTATGTATCAAGCACATCACGTTCTGCTTCAGCCCTTTTCTGCTTTCTAGTCAGTGGTTTGTGACAGACAAACAATTGATTTGAAAACATATTTCTATTCACCTTTGACTAGGAATCTATTAAGGATAATTTAAGAGGAATCTAGAAAGAAAAACCTACAGTCTAGCGCGGTTTTTATCATGAATGTTAGGCTTATTTTCTCAATGATTCGCCAGGTTTCGGTGCTAATAACTGTAACTTACAGGGTGTACCTGGCATTGAATACGATCTAGACATAAAAGTTTTTGTTTTGAGATTTAGTAGATTTTCTCACTGATGATATATGTGAGGGATACTGGGAAAATATGGTGTTTTTACACATCGGGTTACTCATAGCAAAGCATGCTTTAACAAAACATAATTTTAATATCTAATTCGAAAAAAAATTAAAGCAGAGGTAATAATATTCTGTGAAATAATTGGATCACTGAGATATGATGAAGGAAAAAAATAAGCCTTAGGAAACGTACGTTTCATCCATTTTAAGCTAATAGTGGTGATTTGAAGGTTCTTTTATCTGTAACTGCTTATTAAAAATGTTCGTTAAATACCTTCATAATTGCAATGAAAACATGTAACCCTAAATTTAAACGCTTGATAGTCATCAATGAACTAGAGTAAGACTGAATCGTGCTAAATAATATTTATTTTTTGCGAAAATCTTGGAGAAATATTAGTGATAAATTATTTATGGTAATGAATATTTTAAAGCTAGTAAATTTGTCGTTGGTATAAAAGTTGTATTGCTATTAGAAAAGGGTGATACTGAAGACTTTCAATAAGCTCATTCTTATAAAAAATCTTACCTTATATATTTCTTACCGACGCCCGACGGCAGAGATATAGTTTTTCACTTTTCTGAGTTTGAAGAGAATAAGTTTTAATCTCGTTTTGATAAAATTTGGTACAAAGGTTGGGTGTTCCTCAAAGGTCAAGGTCATATCGATAATTATCCTCTTTTTTTATACTGGTGGTAAGTTAGGACTTTCAATAATGATTACCACCCATACTGATAATCATCCTCTTTCTTTATACTGGTAGTAAGTTAGGATTTTCAATAATGGTTACAACTCGAGAATCATTTGCAAAGGAAGAAAGATTCTTGCACCTACATCTACGTTTTTGAGGTTTGAGGAATTGTTTGATGTATATTTTAGCTTAGTTACTGCACAATTAAAAAAGATTAGGCTCGGGAATTGCACTTTCTGATTGTCTTTCTAGTTTTTATCGTGTTTTATTGTTCTTCAACTTTTATAAATATATAGTTTTGACCCTTTCGTAAGATAACTTTGTGTAAAAACAAAATTGAGTTTATCAAGTTAAAGAAAACTTATACTACTGTACCACAAGTTTGTAATTAATCAAATATTATTGTTGCTATTATTAAAATTTTAAATTAATATTATTTATTCTATTTAACAATTTTTTGACATTATAATATATGATCCACATCTTTTTGCTGTTTATTGTAATACTGTTCATTTGAATATTTTACTTAAGTGCTTTGTTTGCTTTTCTTCTTGTTTATTTATAAAGCTAGAGTCCATGTTTCGAGATCTTCATTTGAAATAGAGCAGATATCCCATTGTATGGCTTTGCGTTTGAAACCCACATCAGAAATGTTTCATAATCTACTTTTGACCTTTATCCCTTCGGACTTATGACGCTAACGATCGGGTTTCGATATTCGTGGTGGATACTGCACAAATAGCTTATTTGGTAGCTTATCTACACAATAGAGAAACAAATAAACAGACCTGAACCTTATACATTTCCGTTTGGCTGGATATATTCAAGAATTAGAACCAGTTTATGTAATTGTAATTCATAACATATCTTGAAATGTACAGTATTTTCCATGCTTTTATGCCATTTATAATATTACTAACCTCACATTCTCGTGCCTCTGAATATAGATCTTATGAAACTGACCCTCGCGGGGACTGACAATGTCTTCTTTCATTTCCATAGCAACATGCTGGGGAAGAACACTGAGTAGAAGACGTTCCTGTAATTAAGTCATTATCATTTCACGATATTTAAATCAGAAAATAAGTCTTTTAAGAATGTGAGTTTTATTGAAGAACAAATAATTTATAACTAGACGTTCACATATATTTTATATCTCTTTGATAGATACAATTTACGACGGTTAAAGTTTCAGTTTGAAAGTTATTATTTATTTTATACCGAGATCAATCTTAGGTTGCTTTTCTAAAATGACAAAAAATATTTAGGGCTTTCTAAAAATAAGATTAAAATAATTAGTTCCGGATTGCATTGAAACATACCAGTTTTTCATTTTCATCCTCCATCTCAAGTCTTGTATTTATGCAGTTCCTGGTATCCAAGAAAGCTCTTCTTTGCGCATGCTCCATGAGGATGTGGACAAATATTCCAACCATGTTTACACAAATGAAGGCAATCCAGTTAGAAACCAGCTGAAAAAAAACAAAAGCAATGCATCAGTTTAATGTCACGTAGACGTGTACTCACTAGTAATAACTTTTAAGTAGTTTAAGTTCTATTGGTATTAGTTGTAAGAAATAAATATATAAATATAGTACAAGAACAAGATTATAATAAGCTTAATGTCTTTAGCTTGTTGCTATTAGTACACAAAGTATGCTTACATGTATACAAAGATTTAAAATCAGTAGTAAACTATGATATTCTCAGAATTATACCGTTATTTACATATTACGGGTCATTAGTCTGAATAGAAGGCATCAATATATACGTTATAAGAAAGGTTGCAAAAGGAAGTTGTTAGCTTATATTTAATATTTGTGTTCCATATTACAATATTCAGGATTACGAATTTGATTTTGAACATTAAAAACTAATAATACTATTAATCTTGGCAGTATCTTCCACTCCTGCAACGAAAAATATATCCAAGGCCGTTATAGTCCCATAACTATGTTCCTTGGTTTTGTTTACACTCACATAATTTTCCACGAGAACATTTCCACAGAAAAACTCGTCTAGATTCTCCAAAAGTCTCAGTTTTTCTTTCATCAGGCTATAGCAAGCTTTACCAATAATGTTTTTCTTTTATGTTCCCTGCAAACTTTAAACGCCTGAAATATTAATATTTTTGCTGCAATGTTTTCATATAAGTAAACTTTCTACTAAATGTTTTTGTATATCAATGTTGTTGATTTTAACTCCATGCATATCCTATGTTTATATATATATATATATATATATTTCTATGAATGTTTTGAATCGATTTGATTTTGATATTATTCGAGAGACAGCATCCTTTTATCTGAACGATTTTCTTGGATATTCCTTACTCTATTTGATTTTAAGCTTCCAACTACAATAAAACATGAACGCTGTAGTGGTATTTGAACAGCAGCTTTCGAAGTACTAATCTTTTGAGTAATAAACCGTTGAGGTTTCTTTCATTATATAAAACAATACTATTTACTCGATTTTCACTACTTTGTTGTAAGTTATTTTTCTTATTTTACTCAATGTTAACCATGTTTAAACTTGCAGTCTATGGACGATGATGGCAATTTACTGATTGTTTACTGCAATTAACTGAAACAAGAATGCTGGTGACTTAATATGATATTTTTTCCTTTTGGATTCAGATTTATGACAGTTCCTGTACGTACAAGGCGTTTAGTACCAATCTATAAAATAATCTCAACATATACATTTATGTGTTTAAAAAAAGAGATAAGATATTTGGCAAGATTGGAAATCTAAATAAAGAATATTGATACACCGAGAAAGTGCTAAAACAGAAGAAAGTTATTACGAATTACCAGAGAATACTGATTATCACAAAGGGTTAAAATTAATGGAAAGTTATCAGAAAGATATAAATAATATTGTTGTACTTGTAAATAACTAGAAACAGCAGCTAACTATGACAATTACAAAACGAGTACTGGTGTATTCATAAAGGACACAAATATGTAAACAACTGTGAGAACTACACAAAATAAGGCGACGTGTTTGAAAGACATCATACCAGTAGTAACTTGTAAAAAATAAACAAACATGCAGAGGCCAATACACCATCAAATCTTTTGAAGAAATGGAACAACATTAGGTGGGCTAGAATCTCGAACTTTACCAACTAAGCTAGTGTGTCTCGTATGCCACATCTCTTCGTGTTTATTACATTGATTGTTAAGGAAAGCCATAACTTATATTATTCCTGAGCTACGTGAATGAAATTATAGAATTCAGAACCAGTTCATTGTTGTTATGTTGTTGTATATACCGATTTCAGTAATTAATGAAATGAAAACTGCTTAGTAAGCAGAACAACAAATTTGAAACCTGTCGAACTTCGCCCTCATTTTATCTCCTTGTGAGAAAATGCCCGGCCTAATAGAAAACAAATATAATACTCATGGAAATAAAAATATATAAACAAAATAGAATGGCGAAAAGGTAAGAAAGAAGACGTGTGATATCATTATGAAATAATTTTTTGTCCTTATCTTAGTATAGGGATTTCGGACAAACTTAAATCCCTTAAGCAGGCCGAATCTCATGAAGTAACGTGAAGAAACGTGGATTTATCGTATGAATTATAAAGAGTGGTCCCACCTTTCTTCTGAAAAAACGTAGGTTTAGTGTATGAACTATAAAGAGTGGCCCCACCTTTCTTCTGAAGTAACGTAGGTTCAGTGTATGAACTGTAAAGAATGGTCCCACCTTTCTTCTGAAGAAACGTAGGTTCAGTGTATGAACTGTAAAGAGTAATCTCATATCGAGTGAGCTGAGGGCAATTTCTTTTTAAGTGTGCCGTCTCGGTGAGGACATTTTGGACAGAACACCCAACACGATTATGTGTTTTTCATAATTTTTAAGTTTGCTTTATAGGATTGTTTACTGGCTAATCAAGTACTGACCAATGTGATTTAGTAACGTAATTGTTTGTTTCAATCAATTATTCTGGACATAGCAATGTACCCCCACTAAGTATCATAACATACCTCGTTAATAGGACACATTGTGACAACACACTTTTCGTTGAAACATAAGCTTTGCATTAAAAACTGTTGTAAAGTTTTATTTCATATAAATACAGATACTAGTTTCTATAAGTATAAGCAGTTTGTTTGAAATCTTAATTTATATAATGATATTGTCATGGATTATTACAGTAATTTTATGAAATAGTTGAGAGCTGGAACTTATAAACATAAGATATTCAAAATTTCCAATTTTTGGCAATGTAATTGATAGTCTAATAAGGTGAAGGTGAGATATGACGATGAATTATCAAACTGTCTGGTAACAATATAATACTGAGGTTTAAGTGTAAATCAATACATGTTAGTTTAAAACATTAATGATAAGAATGGTATAAATTAAGATTCTCATATACACTGCTAAATGTCACTCTTTCTAGTGTAATATTTCAAGAGAAGTTATGCTTGGATCAAAGTGTTTATACAGTGCCTTGGAAAAGTATTCACCCCTACCAATAACGTCACATTTTTTTAATGAATCTGTTTATATTCAAAACTCTAATGAGCAAACTTAACACCGTTATGTGTGAGGGAGGTTAAATGTCAGCAAAACCCACAAAGAAAATATAAACATTTAAATTTGCTGATTGCATAAATATTCATCCTCCCTAAATCAGTATTTGGTGGAAGCAGTTTTGGCAACAAGTGTTGCTTTGAGTCTTGTTGAATATGTCTCTACCAGCTTTGCACAATGGGATGGTGTAATTTTTGCCCATTCTTCCTGGCAAAATTTCATTTCTCTAATTCTGACAAGATCATTTAGGATCGTTGATGAACTGACTGCAATCTTCAAGTTTCACCACACATTTGCTATTAGATTCCTTTCAAAACATTGACTGGGCCACTCCAGTAAATTCACTTTCTTCTTTTGAAACCAATCCAGTGTGGCTTTGGCCTTGCGCTTCTGGTCGTTGTTCTGCTGAAATGTGAATTTTCGAAACAGTTTTGTATTTTTGGCTAACTCGAGCAGGTTTTCCTCTAGGATTCACCTGAATTTTGCACCATCCATCCTCCTCTCAATCCTGAGAATTTTTCTAATTCCTTCTGATGAGAAACATCCTCATAACATGATGCTGCCACCATCATGCTTCACAGTTGGGATGATGTTGACTAGTGTTGAGTTTGTGCTAGACGTAATTTTTGTCTCGTCTGACTACAAATCCTTCTTCCATATGTTTGCAGTATCATTTACATGCTTTGTCGCAAACTCCATACGAGATTTAATATGATTCTTTTTCAATAATGGCTTCTTGCTTGCCACTCGCCGAAACGGATCAGATTTGTGTAGGGACCAGGATATTGTCCATATATGAAAATTGACTCTTATTTCAGACATGGAACTTTACAAATCTTTTACATCTTACAAATCTTAAATCGTCATGGTACCGATTTACTTTAATATACAGTGGGAAAAAAACTCTGAATTTAACATTGAATCACTTAACTCTTACTGCGAGGGCTTTTGAATTGGTTACAAAACACATTTACTTTCAAATAAGAGAAATACCTGAACTCGTCAAGAGGACACTTTATACTCAAAACATTGAGGAACCTAGAATGCTGTAAAGTAACCGGTTTATCCTCAATCTAATGAAAATACTGAAATAGTCCCATATCCAGTTTCTGTTTATTAACAGCCAAACATCTAAAAGAGACAGCTTACATTGAAAATACTGAGTAACTTAGACTGCTGATTTACCCTTAGTCAATCGAAAATTTCTGAAGCTGCTACAGAATCAGATTCTATTATGCAATGAAACAAGTTTTCAAAATGCTTCAAAAACCAAGATATATTTTTGTTCTGTAAGGAATTATTGGATTTAACATGAAATAAATAAATATAAAACTGTCATACAGCTACTTTACGTTCTGAAAAAATAAATATGAGGAAAGTGGTTTACTATTTTCTGTTGTAAAACTGCAAAATTGACATGAAATTGCAGCTAATATACAGAAGAATTTTTGTTTGGTAATATCAAGAAAGTAGTTAACACAAAGAGAATGAAAAATTATAGAATTGTTATAACACTGGTTAAACTTTACAAAATTGGAAAGTTTTGAAATTGCCATAAAACTTGTTTACCTTCATCGCGTGTGAAACCTTTGAAAGAGTTCACCTCACTTTTCTATGCTGATAAGTTTTGTAATTGTTTTTGTTTGAAGTTAACCACAAAGCTACACAATAAGCTTTCTGTACTCTGCCAACCAGGGATATCGAAACCCGGTTTCTAGTGTTGCAAGTCCGCAGACATACATACCACTGTGCCACTGAGGGGCCTATAATTGTTATAGAACAAAGTTTATCCTCATTCTGAAGAACACGTTCAAAGATTGTCACAGAACTAGTTTGACTTTTCCTACCAAGAACCTTCCGAAACAAGTTAACCTTCATTTTTTGATGAATCTCCAGAAAGTGTCACGGATCAGATGTA